TGGGTGCTGGGAATGGCAAGCACAGCTGAGCTACCCCTGCAGCCGACCTGTTGAATATTTTCTTCTGTGATGCTCACAGCAGGTAGATCCTATGTCTCAGACAAGTAGTCTGAAAACCATGTTATAACCCCTGCTCTACAACTTCTACCAGCTGAACCCCTGTGGTCATAACTCAGGAACACAGTAGAGAAAGGTGTTGGGTCAGCCTTGTGCAGTACCTTGGAACTCCCATGACTGTCAAAGAAGACTAAATCAATTCCTGAAACAAAATAATTCCTGTCCATATCTAGGGCTCAAGATACCACGTGAGAGTCATGGCCTTCTCTCCTGTTCTCTCCTCTTGAGAGAAGTCTTTTGAGATTGAGGAATTTTTACATTTTTCTTTTTAAACTTTATTTCTTAATTTTAAATTCTGTGTGTGTGCATGGGGAAGGGGGAAGGTATGCACATGCCTGCGGTTGCTCTTGGAGGCTTATATCCCCTGCAGCTGAAGTTACAGGCAAGTCTCGAACTTCCTGAGGAGCACTGGGAACGGAACTTGTCCTCTGTAAAGGCATTTGCAGTCTTCACTACTGAGTCACCCGCAGCCCCTAGAGTTCTCACACTTGAGTCATTAGTTCATCCACTAGTCAGGTGACTTCATCTAGGCCAGTTTTTTACTTTAGCGCTAGAAAACTTGTTTATATTACCTTTAGTAATTTGAGAATCTAGAATTTAAAAAATCATTCACGTTATGATTAAAAGCATGAATATTATTTTGCCATAAACCTTTTAAAATCTAATAGCTTTTTTGAAATATTCATATAGTAAAATTTAGTCATTTATTTGTTTGTTATTTATTTGAGGCAGGATCTCACTATGGAGTTCTTTCTGGCCTGGAACTCCCTGTATAGACCAGGCTGGCCTAGAACTTGAAGTGCCTGCCTCTGTCTCCCAAGAGCTGGGATTAAAGGTGTGTTCCACTAAGCCTAGCTCAGATTTACCCTTTTATTTAAATGTCAGAACCTAGTGATTTTAAAAAATCCATTCTAAGTTGTGCTACCATCACCACAGCCTAAGAATTTTATCACACCCCAAAAGAAATCTTACACCCAATAGACCTCACTTGAAATAGACATCAATATACCCTGAGGCTAGCTGCCGGTACCTTCTCTTTTGTATCTTTGCCAGTCTCCTGACTTCTTTCACTTAGCATGGTTTAGAAATCTATCCATGTTTTAACATGTTATCAGCACTTTATCACTTTTTATTGCCAAACAGTATCCTGTTATAGCATATAGTATAGTTTTAAGTAAGGTAGCTTTGAAAACCAAGACTCAGATTTTGTTCTGCACATGATGCCTGTGAAGCACTCTGTGCTGCTTTGTATCTAAACATTTTGTACAGTTTATCTTGATTATACATAGTAGTAATTGGTTTCTATGTCGTTAATTAGTCAGACTGTTAGCATTGGACAATATATTTAACAATTTTCATACTATTAATAGTAGTAACTCTTTGAAAGGGTGTGTGTTGAAAGATATTTAAACCATATATCTATTTTAAATTGTTTATTGTTTATTTCTCATTTTAAGCTGAAATTAAATGCTTCTTCTATTTTAAAAATATTATGTATTGATTGGGGAAGGGCAAAACTCAGAGTATAACTGACAGAACCCAAAAGATGTTCATAATCTCAGCTTCCATCTATGTGAATACTATTAAAGTATTTAATACTGGAGAGATGGCTTGACAGTTAAGAGCACTGCCCACTTTTCCAGAGGATCTGGGTTCAATTCCTAGCACCTATACCCAATCTTTCCCTCCAGTTTCAGGGGATCTGATGTTCTCTTCAGGCCTCCTTGAGCACCAGACACTGGAGCATAGACCTGCACACATGCAGGCAAAACACCCAAATACCACAGTTATAAAATAAAAATTCTTTTTCTTTCTGCATATTTGTAATTAACAGACATGTAAATGAAGGTTCTCTTTTTCCTGAGGAGGAGGAGGTTGTTTTTGTTTTTGAAGTATCTCACTGTGTTGCCTAGGCTCGCTTGGAACTTTGAGTCCTCATGCTTTCTGAGTACTACATCATATAACATGTACTTTTACTCTGTGTGTGGGGGGTGTTTACCTGT